TATCCGTAGTCCATCTCGATCTTTTCAAACAGACTGTGGAACCAAGTTTTCAGAAGAATACTCGTTTATACACCACTGTTTCGACTTACATAGATTAAACTCATAACTGACTGGAGTGGAAATATACCACTATCTAAGGTGGGGAATAAATATATACTGCTATTTTTAGCGCACCGTTATCTTCACGTTGTGCTAGAGTGTGAAGTGCCGTTTCAAATGTGTGGCTATTAGCTCTTAACTTCTCTTATTTTTGGGGGGGTGGAAGTGTTTTAAAAATTTTGTCTAGTCACAGCATTCGAATTAGCCTAACACGTGCTATTAATTTGGCTGTCTTGCAACATAAAYAAAACCAAATTAATTTGATGCTTCATTAAATTAGTTTATTGAGTACCATCAATAAATATGGATCCGCTTGAGAGATGTATTAAGTATTTTCTACAGTCGGTTTTTGTTATATTCGTCATAATACCGGCAGGCCGAGCGCCACTGGTGCTAAATGTTTTGTATCGCATTGCTTGGTTAATATTCCTCTTATACTACAGTTACTTGCCCGTTATGTTGCTCACCATTGGCGCTGATAACTCGCTTGTACGTTGGGTGCGTCTGTTTCTCTCCGTCGGCTCCGCGATAATCTACATACTTTGCATAGTGGAGAGTACGCTAAAATGGCGAGAATATGGACGCATAGTCCAAAAATTTCGTACTATTGATGATTTGATAACAAGGAAATTTAAAGTSAACTTGGTCCAACGAAGACGTTCTAGTTATCTCAAATCACACATACTGCCATTACTCATAATACTAATAATTTGCGAGATTATAAAATTGTTTATGCTGAAACGCCTTAATTTCAGTTATTGGTTTACGCTAACGATTGTTACGGGTCTACGTCTTCGTTATTTCCATATAATCGTGATTTTGTGCGACTTCAATGAACGTTTGTGTCTACTATGTGAAGTCTTGAAACGGCTGAAAGCTTACAATGGCTTTGGTCCAAACTTGGAGTGCGCCGCTTGGCGTCGCAACAATCACTGGGAGTTCGCACAGCTGAATATGTTGCGCTTGATCCACGGACGCATCTATGAATTGCTGCAGATCATCAACGAGCATGTCGGTTGGTCCATGACTCTGATTGCGCAGGAAGCTTTGTTTGAATTCGTTTGCTACACATATTGGTGTCTGACGTATAAGTTGGTGAAAATGGGCATGGGCGCAGTGATCTTTAATTTCGTTACAATTTTCTCGTTGGGCTGTCTACACTACCAATGGTTTCAGCAGGCAGATAGAGTCAAACAGAATGTGAGTATGAGAAAGAGAAAGAGAGAGATGGATAGGAAAGGAGTGAGAGCGCTAAAGAGTGTGAAAGGGAGACTGGAGAAAGAGATACTATGGGATAGAGAAATCTTCGAACTTCTGGAATATGTTACAGTCAGTAGACTACAAGCTTCTGGGGTTCTCTTATATGTTTAGAAGCTTCGCCAAGTTATAGACACATTTATTGGATTCTATTATAGAACATTAAAAGTATTTGACAAATTGCCACTCCAATCCAATTTATGGCAAGAGGAAACCATCAAAAAATCTGCTTCTTGAAGACTTACATATATACCTCTTGGTCAGTGGTCCGAGAATTACACAAGAAAATAGTAACCAAATCCCGAACTTTGTACCTTGAATCCGATTTATAAATGCCTAAATTTCGATAAAAAGTCCAAGTTTTTGAATAATTCTCGTCCATCGTCTCAGATCTTAAGGCTCTATACTTTGATCCCCTTGATATCCATTGTCTGTCTATGATGTTGAACCTGGCTCCAGCTTTTATAAAAAAATAAGCTTTCTTATTTTTCTAGGGTGAAATGTTCGCTGCTATTACAACTCAACTTTATAAACCGTGCGATGATAAACGCTACAATGATCTACTACTCGCATTACTGATACAAACGATGCATCAAAAATTGATGGTGACAACGAAAGGGTTTCATATAATTGATTTGAAAAATTTAGCAACGGTAATTGATAAAGATATGTTTATACATAATATATTTCTAATTAAATATTTATTTTGATTACATTTGCAGACTATCCATGTTTTCGCCAATTATTTGGTGTTCTTGCTGCAATTTACATATACCTCGCCCAGACGTTAGAAATTTGAACTTATTGTTGGGGTTTTCCTGACCTCTGTTGCATTGATTATTAGTTTAGACTTCAACATCATTTTGTTATTTATATCTTCATTCATCAAGAACTGCATTAATATTATCAGATATGTAATGGATAGAGCAAAAAGCTGAAAATAAAAGAAGGTATTGGATCAACAAAGTGCACCAAATGGCTTTTAATGTTAAAAGGAAGTATAGCAATATGATGGACCGGAATCAAGCATTGCAATGGGGTCCCATACTTTAAAGGAGCTGCTCTGTATGTGGGAGAGACTGGGGAGGGAACAGTATTGGCAGCAGGAATGCTCCATGCCAAGCTACTTCTGGGAGGATAAAACCTTGGAAGGTTTAAAGAAATAATCAACTTCCCCCGAGACAAATTCCGTCTAGTTGTCGCGCTCTGTACAGGCTACTGCAGGCTCAAGAAGTACTTGTCTAACATGGGCATAGTCTCTTGCGCAAACTGCCGGCTCTGCGACATGGAACAGCAAACTGCAGAACAATTGATTCTGGATTGGCCAGTAATTTGCAGAAGCTGGATCAAGGCCCCATGTTCTATCTATTTATCTATCTGTGAAATATACTTCGATATTGCAAACATTATTCCGTTCTCTCTTGGCACTTTGGGGTTAGGGCTAGCTATTTACCGCTATGGTTGGATGTTTGAAACTCAAATACATCCAAGTTAACAGCATTTAACCCCCAATAGGGAATGCCGAATTATCTAAAAATGTACAAAGTTGAAGGATGTCAAAGCACGTAGAGTTTGAGTGTTAGGTGAGCAAGATTCCTGGTTCGATATCATTACTTTCATAGAAACTCTTGATTATTTAAAGATATAAGATAATTAAAAAATATATCTGTTTTATGTGGATCTACCATCTCCTTCTTAAAGTAAGTGCAGTCTTAGAAACGTTTGATAGCCGGCCTTGAACAGATTAAGTACTTAATAATAGCACGAAAAGTGAAATCAGTAGTGGATTAGACTATGAGCCAAATGTTCGAGATCACACACTGAAAGGAAATGTGTTGAGTAAAAGCTCTTCGAGCAATCGTGGATTACGAAACGGTTTCAATACATGCCAAGAAATTTTAATAACAAATTATCTTAACAGCAGTCTCATGTTGTTGTTGTTGTTGTAACGAGTACCTACTTCACATTGGGATTGTATGGATTAGATGTTTTGTCATCGACGTGTTTCGATGGAAAAAGGGAGAGGATGTCAAATGTGTTTCTCGCTGCAACTCGAGCTCTATGTCTGCAACGGGTGGTGGTGTGACTCCAAGTATGCCATTCACTGAGAGGGAATCGGTGAAAGTGTTAATGGCGCCACTTTGATTGGTCAGTGCATGTCGGAAGATGGTCGGAAGGTCGCATGTTCTCGCACCGTTTTATGTCGTCGACGTAGTTGCGGAAGGACCACTTGATGCGTGAAAAGGAGTTCATTATGCTGCTTGGAAAGCAGTTCATTATGTTCTTTAACGGGAAGAGCATTGTCTCCTCAGAAGAACTGGTTTGTTACCAACAAT